AATACCCAACCTTTTGTGGTTGTAATGAGTAAAAGTGCATGAAACTTACTAAATGTACCTGATTTCCAAAATGTTTTAACAACAGAACTGTTTAACTGAAAATTTGTAACTAAGTGTTTCAGGCCATTGCTTCCCTAAGGCAAGTGGGGAACTGCTTCTGGTTTTATTTGCATTACTTAGAGTAAAGTGTGGGAGTGATCAAGTCAAAACTAAGATTTGATTTCAAAACTAATTAGTTGTAGCTCTGCTGTGTTTTGGCTTGGATTTTTTTATATAGTTTAAATTTTGGAGGTTTGAAAACTGAAAACTATCTTAAGTTTTTCTACCAAAAATGTGAAATCATCACATCAGGTATTCTAAATATTAGCAAGAGGTGCTGACAGCATCAGGCCTAGAACATTTTATCGGAAGTTAGAAGGAACCTTTAAGACAGAATTGATTTATTAAACATGGATCTCTCAGTTCTCCAAGATGAGAAAATACAGGATGAGTTACAACAGTTGCCTAGTTGCAGTGCTACTTTGGTTCAGCCAAAGAAAACATACTTCTGGTCTGCTTTCTTCTGTTTTGATCTGCTAACTGTTGTTCCTTACCTTGCAGAATAAAAAGGTGTGATGTGAGATTCTCAAATCTGGTTTACTGTATCCTCACAGTTCATAGAAGTGCAAAGCACAGGAAAGCAGAATCTGGCAAACAGCTGGCACATTCTGTTATGTTTATGGGTTTTTGTAAGATTGTGTGCCAGAAAGGACCATACTCAAAAAAGATGCTCAGATAGAAGCTTTGAACACACTTCTTGTAGAAACAGTGATTGTTGGTACTTGGACTTTTAGAGAGAGTAGCATACTTTGCTATATAAGTTGGCCACAGATTTGCAAAGGAAGAAAAAGAGTTTAATTTGAGATCTCCTTAGGATTTAGGACCAAAAGCTTAGGAAGAGGAATTAACATTAAGTACTTTTATATGGTTTAAATTACTGAACTTTAGTTAGCATTGGAGAAATTACCTTTGTGGTGTTGATAACTTTTAGAGTATACCACTGGTTCTGTTTGAACAGATCATCTCAACTGAAAAGCCAGCATGTCTTTTTGCACATCTTTATTTTTTTTGTCTAGTGAGAAAATGAAATCTTAGGTCTTGGTTGGCAGCCACTCATTAACATACCATAAACACGTGCCTCACAGAAAATGCCACCTGGGCCATTGTGTGGTTCTGTCTTACTGTGAAGGAATTAATGTGTACATGGGAGAGGAGAAGGAGGCGCTTGTGCTTAAATCTCCTGCAGTTGTAATCTTTTTGTGTTGATATTAGCACAGCATTGCAAGAAAAAGCTGAGAGCTTCAAAGTACCGAGCTTTTCAAAAATTCCAGCTGGAAAAAGGAATGCTCAGAGCTAGTTGTTTTAGGCTTTAGCGGTCAGTTGTTTTCCAGTTTCAGGTGTTGCTTTTTATTTTGCTTGTTTGTTTGTGGTTTTGTTTTGTTTTTTCTCTTTAATGGTTGCTTTTCCAGTAGTAATTGGTTCCATGTTCAGACTATGGATAGATTCCAAAAATAATTTAAATTTCGTCATTAATTTTATGGGGATTTTGGCTTTTTCTTGTTTTTAACAATACACAACATTGAAAAGTAAGGTACAACGAGATTTACATTTTTAGTGTCTTTTGTGTGTTCAGTTTTTGATTTGGATATATTCTAAAGTTGAGGCCAATGTTGATAAAGTATTTGTAAACCACATTAAAATTTGGGGATAATTTGTACTTATATGAGAAGTCTTGATTTGTTATAGAGAGTTTGCCACTGTGGGGACGCTTCCACACTACTTGTTTTTGAGCAGCAAAGTGAAATAGTGCCTGTTTTCTCCTGCCAAGGGTATTGCAGCTACTTGGAAGATGGCATCAGGCAGTGCTTTCAGTTTAAAAACAGATGGGCAGCTCTCTTAATCAGCAGGTGGAATGATGAGAAATGAAACAGCTCTCATGGGTTGATGTGCAATGTAAGGAATAACTGTACAGCTTGAGTCTTTCATTTCAAGATTGAGTTCCATTGAGGGGAGCAAGTGGGTTTTGGAGCGGTCCTGAGTGTCTTGCATGTAACACAGCGGTCCCCAGAGGTCTGAGATAAAACAGTTTCCCTTAGCTAAGCCAGCAGGTAACTTAAGGACTTTTCCAGAATGTAGATACACCATACCTGTTTTTCAAAGCAAGGGAAAGGAGCTCATTAGGCACAATTGGATGAAGTGACTTTACTTTCAGTTGCTCTTTGGGACATCTTTTCCTAAGCAGGTCAGAATATATCTGCAGTGAGCTATGACCTGGTTTTTAAGCTATATTATTTCTGGTTTTCGTTCTAATTTTTAGTTTGTGTATCACCAATAAGGGCTGGTTGTTTTAGGATTTTTTTTGTGTTAGGGTGATAAGATAGTAGAGGGCAAAGAAAATAGGGTAAAGGTTAGAAAATAAACAAAAAAGAAAAAAAGAAAATTGACTGTAACCTTTGATTGTTGCAGTTCTCTTATTTTTAATGCGTTTCGTATTCTATAATAAAGGGTGCATCTTACTTTTTTTTCATGTGCCCTTTTTGGATACAGTTTTATCACTCTGCTGTGTAGGTTCCTGTGTTTGTTCCTGCAGCAGTTCATTTCAGCCTGTTGCCTTTTTATATTAGCATCGGAAATACCTATTCCTTTGTGTTATTGTTACAATGCTAGCTTTACAGAAATTTATTTGACAAGTGGGAAAATTGCAATCATGTAACTTCATTTCCAGATCTTCAGTTCATTAGCCAACTTGGCTAAAATCTATAAAATGTACCAGTTCTATTCACTTTGAAGTTTTAGTAGCATTTTTGTTGTTGTTGGAAAAGTTTCCACTGTTACTATTGTGTTCCCCTGAGAGAATTTGTAGCTTGCAAGAAATCTTACTGGTATGCAGACTGTAATATCCCAGGCTTTGTATTATGCTGTGTTGTGCCATAATAGTTTTATGTCTGTTTCCATTTGACATCTCAATTAGGAACTTATTGGAATCACTGTTTTCCTTTTTGAAACTCTCTGTTTTCAATCTGCCCATGAAAACAAAATTATTTTCTTGTTAGTAGACATTAATTTGAATATAAAAATTAATTTAGTTGTCCTGGGGAGATTTTTCTGCTCTTTGCTCCAAGAGAGTTTCTTTCTTTTAAAAGAAAAATCTATTGTGGATGAGTGGAAGGTGTGATGGCCATAACACTCTCACATCTTTAAGTGAAACAGTGTGTGTAAAACAGACTTTGATTGTATTGCATTGCAAAGAAGGCAGGATTTTGGTTTGTGCATCACATTTGCAAGATACCCCATGCATCATCTAACTATTACATCTCTCTCTGGCTTTGTGAATTTTACTTTGGGAACTTTTAAATACACTATTTCTTTTAAATACTCTATTCCTGAATAATTGTAGTTAGTTTTCTGGGGTTTTTTTACTATTTTTTAGAAATTTAAATATATTCCTGTGGACATCTGAGTTATTTATAGCATCAGATCTAAAATGTGTGTGGATTTTCAGAGTGCAAGCAGAGGCAGTATGTTAGCCCTGGCATGAGTGTGATTGTAGCTGTTCACTTTTCAGTTATTTCTAATCTCTTTTTTCTTCAGCATGACTTTTGTTGGATATCCCAATAGGGAATATTATTTGTATGTTAAAACCAGATTTAGATCATAGTGGTACAATAGTCTTGGAATAAAATAGGAAGTTATCTGCCAATTTGATATGAGAAAAGGCATTTTTGGATTTTGATAAAGTTGAGGAGCCAATACATGTGCCTGGATTGCCATTTTCATACCAGTTCTTTCATTTGTTGCTGTTCATGGACAAATTTACAGGAATTGAATCACCTCACAGGAATAAAATCACTGTTGCTTGTAAAGATCTTTTCTTCCCACCTGTAACCAGTTTTCTTGATTTACAGAAGAGGCAATTGTTAGTACAGATTCTCTTCTCATTTAGATGATGTGTGGGAGGGAAAAAACACTGACTGCTGCAGATATGAGTGATTGTAACTGTTTCTCATCCTTCTGTTGCCACTATTTGAGCTCTTGTGTTTAGACACAAATGTTCCTGAGAAGGAAGGTAGTCCAGATTTGGATCTTTCAAAAAATAAAGGCTGTACATAAGGCATAACTACTTTCTGGAACATTAGTAAAATATTAGAAAATGGTGAATACCATAAAAGAAGGTTAGACAGTATTTATTTGTGCTCTTTGCTGGTCTTTTATGTTCCCTTCTTCTTTGTTATCTGTGTGCTGGCCCTTCCATTTCAGTGGATGCAAAATCAAACAATCAAAATTGGTGCTAAAATAATTCTATTTTATATTAGAGGTGTAAACTTCTAATAAAAGTTAGTTTTGTCTGAGAAAAGTAAAAATACTCATGAATTATGACCATTGAAAGTAAAACAATAAAGTCTTAATATATGCACAAGCACAATGTATGAAGTATTCGGTATATTCTGAACAAATTTATTGGAAAATTGGAAAAAAATTTGGAAATGTTTGTGGCATGATTCCATTTTCTTTGTCTCAATAAAATTTGATATAGACTTAATTTTTTTTTTTTTTTTTTGTTAAGCCCAGGATACAGTGTTTTCCTGTCCAATCTTTTCCCTTTTATTTCCTTCCACATTACCCTGCCGCTGCCTCCCCCCGCCGCCCCCCCCCACATGTACTCATACCTTTCTTTCTGAGAAGGTAGATTTTATTTTTTCTGTTTCATTAAGGAAGAACACATTTTCTGCTGCTGGGAAGAAAAATAGCTTTTCTTTTAAAACACTTGAAAGCAGCTGTCAAACATGAGATTCTGTTTAATGTTGCTTTTTGTTTGGACTGTGCATTAGGAGGTAGGAGTCCAGCTTTTCACTTAGCAAATTTTTTTATTCAGCAACTGATTTGAGAACTGCTTGACGTGGTAAGAGATAATAGTGTTATTGTATCAAGAAGTCATTAATTTTAGGCTGTTCTTTGTCTAGGTTTTTATCCCGTTTTTTGGTAAAGATGGCAGCCAACAATGCAGTGCTGAACAGACTGGAGCAGAAGGGTGCAGAGGCTGATCAAGTTATTGAGTACCTCAAGCAACAAGTTGCCCTGCTCAAGGAAAAAGCCAGTAAGGATTTACCTATCTTATGCTAAATCTGTTAATGAGATGGTTAGCAGTAAATGCACATAGGAAAAGATGAGAATATTTAAAGCGTGTTTCAACTTCTCCAAGATAAACCTTGCAATCATAGCCCCACTTGACTGTCATGTGGTTTGTGGGGGTTTTGTAGTTTCTCAGAGTTTTTTCTTGTGATTCTGTTTAGGGGACTGAGAAGATAGTATATTGAGAGACAGTTTGATTATATAAGTATTCTAAAAATGTCTATTTCAACAACAAAGAAAATAATTCCTAAGTATTTCTGATTATATGCTCCTGTACTACTAAACTTGAAAGTTCTCACTTTGGTGCTGTTTGGCTCACCATGTTTCACTTTTCTTTAAAAACAAACCTCTGTGTCCAAAGTGATGAATGCTAGTTACTGAAACCTGTTTCTTTTTTTTTTTTTTTTTTAATGTGTCAACCCTAGTCTTGCAAGCATCTCTCCGAGAAGAGAAGAAGCTCCGTGTAGAAAATGCTAAACTGAAGAAAGAAATTGAAGGGCTGAAACAGGAGCTGATTCAGGCTGAAATTCGAAATGGAGGTGGGGTAAAAAAGTACTATTCTCATACAACATTGATGTAGTTGGCACAAAACTATCTTAATTCTTCTTGATTTTTATTGTTCTGTATGTGACTCTATGGTATTTCTTACAAATTCTGGATTTTCCCTGATTCCATGCCTATGACAAGTTACTCGATTCCAACATTTTAATAAGCTGCAGATCTATATACTAAAGTTAATCAGACATGGAACTAGTTCTTTGTATTTTTTTGTTCAGTGCCTTGCATAATAGGCCGTGAACCTCACTGATGATAATGATTCCTTGTAATTCTGTAGAAATTGCTACATGTCTAACTCTTCTTGCTACTTTGAATATTTAATCTAGCATGACTGAAAGATCAGTATGGAAAGATCAAGCCAATGGTGCAAAGTACAGATGGTCAGGGACTTACTAGGAAAGCTGTGGTTATGTAAATTTATAAACAATGTGTTCTGAATTTATGATTCTGTGCTTTAGACCAGCCTTCCATTGGACTTGTTCTTTCTTTGCTCTCCTCTATGTAGTTCTGTTCAGCTTGTACCATCATTATATACTTCACAGTAAAAAAAAAAAAAAAAAGAGGAAAGAAAAAAACCCAAAACTGAAGTGTTTCAGATACACTGTGTTGTCTTTTAAAATTATTGCCAAAAAGTCCTCTTCTGCCCTCAAAAGTTATTACTGTTAACCCATACTATCAGAATTCTGAATTGTTTAAGATATTATCCAGTGTATCTGGATGCTGGCATTTAACTGCACGGAATGTTTAACTGGTGTAAAAGCACGTTCAGTCTTCAAAAAGATTAACATGTTGTGAATACAGAGAATTCTTTTTCTCCTTTGGACACCAATAAAGCCTTTTCATGTACCAAACCAAACCATTATTATATTTCTCTGTTATCTTTTAGTCTGCAGCAGTTCTTGACAGGTGTGGGATATTTCACAGAATCTGTTGTGCTTGAGAAAGGTCTCAAGGTATATTGGTCCAAGATGGCAAAGGAAATACTTGATGTGCATCTTCCTTTACTTAGCTAGTTCATCTAAGTGGTAGTAGGACTAAATTCAGATCTTTTCTTTTGAAGGAAATAGATGTTTGTTAGATCTGAAGGGACTAAGTAGTTGGGCACAGAAATTAGATGGACATGGAAGATCAAAAATATCACAAGATGTTTTTTTCAAAAACCTGAGAAACAAAGACTTACCCCAACTAGCAAGCAACTGGTTGTTGGTACAACAAATTTCATGTTCAAATTGTTTTAGAAAGCTGTTTACAAGAATATAATTTGTGCAAATCGCTTCTGTGTTGTAGAGTACAGGCATCAACTAACAAGGTGCAGTTCTTCAGGAAAGTTAGTAAATATCTGAAATGAAAAACAAAACATGTATTCAGAATGGAGAATTCCATCGTGGTGATACCAGAAGGATGTATCAGTTGTTAATGATAAAACATTGAAAGGATTGAAAGGAACTTCAAAAGATCCTCTCATCTATCCTTGCTTGGGAAAGGGAGCCTTGATGGTACTGCCTAGTGCACTGATGGTGCTTACCCTGTACAATTATTGGGTTAAAAGCCTTGATGAGAATGTAGAAGAGAGGTGCTTCTTACACTTCTGTCTGGTGAGATTGATAGTGCAATGTCCAGAATGTATCATCAGTTTAAAAAGAGCTGTTGAGGGTAATGTGGAGAACTTAGGGAAAAGAGAAATCAGCAGATCACGTTAGGGCTGCAGGTAATTTTGTTTTATTCAGGCTCAGTTTCTGAAGTTAATCGTAAGAGTTGATGGGTGATCTGAATACGCTATAAAAATGGTTTTGCACATACAAGAACTAGTAGCTATAAACTGAAACTAAACAAATGGGAAATAGGGAATTGGTAGAAAAAATAACTAGGTGTTGAAATCAACTATAAAAGGAGATGTTGTTTGCTTATATATTTTCTTGTATTTAGGACTTCTACGCATTTAAAAATGTGTAATCAAGCACTTTGTTTTAATTGATCATAATAATCATATATATATTAAGTTCTGAAGTGTGTTTTGTAATGTAGTTCACTACTCAGCAGTTGTGGTTTAATATATTAAGCAAAATTTTCAGTTCTCTGCTTTTTCATCTATGTTGTACACTTAAAAGTGTCAAAGTTCTGGTAGTGCCCCTAACTTTTGTGGTTTTGATTTTAGTAAAGCAGGTTGCAGTTCCTCCTGGTACAACCCTTTCTGCAGCTTCGTTTTCAGAGGGTGTTCCAAAACCTATGGCTGTTACAGCTTCAGCTTCTCCTGGTTCCAAAGATCAAATTAAAGGTGAAGATGAAGAAAAGAAAAAGAAGGAAAAAGTAGAAAAAAAAGGTACTTCACTTTTCTTATCTCTGATAGACAGTTGAGGTATCTAATTTATGCAAGTGCTTTTGCATGATTTTGAGCACAAAATAAAAGTTTTCATACAGCTACAGGAGGAAGAGTCATGTGCTAGCTCTTAAATCTTGCAAATACTTGAAGTTAATGAAGGCTGTCAAGTAAGCTACAGATTCTTCCTTGCGTGGGATACATGCCAAATTCTGTTTAATGTGACTGCACTTCCTCATTTAAAAAACCACCACCAACAAAAAACAAGGCATGTCTGTTGGACACCTGTACTTTTGTGCAAGTAATCTTGTAACTTAAACCTATCTTTTGCAGTCATTTTCTTATGCAGATTATGATTAATTTGCTATGATTAGATCTGTACAGGTTTTCAGAGTTTGGATATTATGATAGTGCACTCTCTCTTTTCTGTTGAGCTGTACAGTGACTTTTCAGCTGTTTTGTATTTTTTAATGTATTTCTGCCTTTGACAATTAATATTCCACAGAGCTGTAAATACAAAAGCAGAGGCCACATGTCATAGCAGGTAATTAAATTTTTCCCTCAAGTATTCAGCGCCTACAGAGCACGTATTCAGTTGGTAAAGAAAAATAAAACTTTCTATATATGATGAGGGGAAGTACAATACAAGTAGCCTAAATTCAGTCAGACAAATGCAGATCACAGAATATTCTGAGTTGAAAGGAACCCACAAGGATCATCAAGTCCAGCTCTTAAGGGAATGGCCCATACAGGGTTGAACTCTCAAATTTGGTGTTACTAGCACCATACTCTGGCCGACTGAGCTCATCTCATATGGAAAGCAGTTTTAGACTTTTGCCTTATACTGAAATATAGCACAGACATTAAATAGTAGTCCTGCACAGGCTATTTCTGTGGAGTTCAGCATCTGTTGAAGGTATTGCATTTAACAGTTGGAAGTAACCAATACGTAAAATTTGTTTTTAAGTCTAGAAATTGATGAAATGATGGACTGTCTCAAATCCCTTTGCTTTCTGTCACCTAGGTCATCTCTTTCCTCTCTGGTTATTTTCATATTCTTTGTTCTACTTCTTGCAAAACTTACCTGTATGATTTCTCTGTATATTGATTCTGGACTGACTCTAGACACTGGCCAGAGGAGTGCATGTGTCTCCTTAGCCTGTGGAAATGGAGATTTTCTATGTATCTGTATGTGTACACACCATGTACACAGCTGCTGTGTTCTCATTTGAGAAAAGACTTAATTTCTCTTGTAGAGGAATATCATGGAGAACAGTGTGGAATTATGCCAAGCATAAATTCAGCAGGTCTTTCAAATGATCTTAGATATTATATGTTAGCTATTTTGATTGGGATTTTTTTCCAGTTTCTCTTATATTATTGTATATATGACTGATTTTATTAATCAGATTGTCAATTACATGAAAAAACCCAAGTCATAATCACTAGAGCTTTTCATTCATCATAAATGAATAAATATTTTTGAAGTGCTGTTGTTTATATTAAAAAGATATTGCCTTTCTGTTATTGAATATATTATTTAATTTCATGCCTGTACTAGAACAATGATGAATGAAGTCAAATTGCATGTTGTGTCCACTTTTCCTTTTTTGGCTTCCTTAAGTAGAGAGTTTAGTTTACATTAATGTGTAAGTTATCTTGGACGAAAGAATAACAGAATATGCTTATTTAAAGTAAGCACATCTTAGACTTTTTTTAATCTCCCAGAGATTATAGCTGTTAAGCAAGTCTTAAACATCTCCTAAACAGCACAGTCTTATCTATAAACTGGATATAAGTTGTTCATCTTGAAAGGAATATTGCATATTTTATGATTCCTTGATTTATATAAGCAGCTGAGTCTGGGGAGTGTTGCTTCACTCTTGTTTTATACTACACAGTCTGTGTGTGTAATGATCATGGGGTAAAGACACCACACCAGGGGAATCTCATAAGCCATGAGCATTTTCATGCACTCTTGTGTTTGGGAAGTGCAGAATGTTGGCTGTCATCTTGAAGGGTTGCATTGCAGCTGTGACAGTGCAGCTGCAGTGAGTTCACAGCTCCTGGCTGTGTACCATGCTGATAAGCACTCATAACCTGATGGACTGTGATTCCCTAGTTTCCTTTTGCTAGTGAAACACCATGGTAAGGCTTATTGGTAATTGCTAATTATTTGGATGGGATGATCAGGTAATTAATGTGGCCTTTGTCAGGGCGTGTGTGTCACACATGTTAGCAGCACTTAAATTCAGGATGACTTTGCAAACAGGAGGTGGTAATTAGTTGAGGTAATGATGTGAATTGAAGTGTGTATAACAATTCACCACTGGAAACTGGTAACAGAGGTGCTAACTCTTTACTCTTCTTTTGTATTTTGCACAGAATTTATGCTTATTTCTAGGACTGTAGCTTACTTTTCCCTTGCAGTAGTCATATACGTTAGTTGTGCTTTTTTTAATGTTTATTTCATGGAACAAAATGTTCTCTAATAGGTGAAAAGAAGGAGAAGAAACAGCAACCAGCTGCTGGAAGTAGCGATGCAAAACCTGTAGATGTTTCTCGTCTGGATCTTCGTGTTGGCTGCATTATTACTGCTGAAAAGCATCCAGATGCAGACACTCTGTATGTTGAACAAGTGGATGTTGGTGAAGCAAGCCCAAGGACTGTTGTCAGCGGTTTAGTGAAACATGTTCCTCTGGATAAGGTATTGACAAAATTATTCACTGATAGCTTTTCCTTTCCTAAAGTATCTTAAGGCATTCATCTGTTTATAGGATATGTTTTTATTCTGCTAAAAGAGTTGTACAGTCATGAAAACAAAAATAAAATGCAGATGGAAGTAATACTTAACAGCATTTGCCAGAAACCAGAGAAGTGCCCTTACCCAAATCAGTTTCTGACTGCAGTGCTTCTATCCTGGGATCGTATTCCAATTCCTCTGCCATCAGTGCACACTGGACTGCTAAACTAAACAGATGTTACTCTTCCTCTAGGTTTCCTACTATGTAGTAGAGAAGTTATAGTAACCTTTTTGGTATGATCCAAACTTTTGAAACCTTTACCTTCCAATTCTCTTTTATAGCCTGTTGAAATATTTGGCATGAAGTAAAGCAGAGCATGTAAATTCAACTTAGCTGGCAATGAATAGCTTAAACAACAGTGGAATACAAAATGCATGCTTTTACTTCCTTGTGCAGAATAGAATCTGTGTCCATGCTTTTTTTAGTTGATACGCTTTGTTGTTTGACACAGATAGTTTATGGGTGCATTTGAACAACCTAAGACTTCAAGATTTAGTTTTCCTTTCACCTCTTCTGGAGGGTGAGAGGAGTTGACTGAAGGTTGCTCCTAAATTCAAATGCAAGCTTGGCATTTAAAACAGTGTTGTGTAGAGCAACTGCAAAATGGATCATGAAGGAATTGATCTTAGTCTCGAAAAAGCTCCATTGTCGTAAATGTCTTTTCAATCCTTATTTGCACACTGTCCCCATGGTAAGACTGCAAGCATAGGAAACAATTAAAATTGTGATTGTTTTTTTTTTTTATGCTACAGAAAGTTACTGAGCCAAAAAAACCCCACCTGAATATACTAACTATTCTGCACTGATCACCTGATGATGTCCACTTACTGAATTTGCACTGGGCAAAATCTCAACTTGCTTGCTTTAAGCAGTCTTCTTTCAAGAAAGCATGTAGAGGAAAGCATCTTAAAAGCCATTCTAAATATACTTACAAACATGAAGTGTATAGAATGAAATGGCTGCAGGAGTCTTTTCTTTTTAACCTTCTTTCTGAATGAAAAAATAATCTGAAGTACTCATTAACAGAGAGTTAGGGATCATCCTTGCATGTTCTTTGAGAGCATTTTTGTTTGCGTGTCTGTTTTCGGTTTTGGCAAGTCTCTGTTAAGACAGTAAATTTTTAGGGGCAAGCTTCCATCTTTTTATGTTTTTTGAAGTGTTCAAAAATGTGAAGGCCTGGCATGTGTCTACTGCCATATATTGAAATAAAAATATATACATCAGATCAAGGACCATAGCCATAAATTTATTCACAAAAAATTCAGCTGTTTATGATTTTGGTGTTTGATGTGGTGATTTAGCAGTGTTTGAGGCTGTAGTATTTGTATCATCTGATTTTACTTTTGGTTAGGAAACACAGTATGTATCTTCACTAACATTTCAGTATGCAGTGCAAGTTATTTATGGGTGTGAAAACTTCTGGCATGCCCACTTTATATGTGAAATGCTGTGGTTTTGTTCACGTGGTGGTGAAGCCACGTCAGAAGTTGCGCCCTCTGTTGTCATGAGCAGTTGTGTCACAAGTAACAGGGATATGGAAGGATCTTGGCATAAGGTGCACCATGCCATTACTGAGCTCTTTTAGCAGGTGGGACAACTGGGGAAATTTCTGAAATGTTAAAAGCTATTCTGCCACTGCATTTGGCTTTTTCAAGTGGATCTCTGTGTGTTCCTAGCATCAATACCTGTTTCAGGCAATTGTTCTTGAAATTCAGGCAGTTCTCCAGTGTCGCTTTTTGTCACCTTATCCTCTTTAACCTAAGAGAACCTCATGTCAGTGATCAGAAGTGAAGAAGAACAGGAATGTAGGGAATGTGTCTTAACAAGAAGAGAAAAGGCCACCATCATTCTCCAGAAACGCTATTCTACAGCCATTGTAAGAGGTTACATTACAGTTACATCTTTTGTGAGTGATATACTCTGATTTTTGCAGCAGAAACTTTTCCTTCCACTTAGATGCCTTGAAATTTTTTCTTTCTAGATCATTGTGATCTCCACCCAGTAATTAGCCTTTCATTCATTAATGGTTATCCAGTGCTAGATAATGCTACAACTTGCATTTTAGTCACTGACATGTTACAACCATTTTTTGTATTTTATGCTGCTTATTCGCATAGCAATAACTTGAGAAATTTTCAGTCAGTGGGCTGGCTTGAAACTGGTGCAAGATAACTTTTTCTTAAAACTGCTTCATTTTGGCAATTTAAATTTTTGCTTTTTAAGGTGTTGTCTTTGGAAAATATGCAGTGTTTGAAATAGTTGATCATATGAGTTTATTAATCCTGCAAGTTATGTTCAGAGTTTGTACTGTGATGCACAAAGACCAAAATCTAGAAATAATAAATACTTATATATAATGTGCATTAGTAGCATGGGAATTAAGACATCCTTACTTTGTCTCTTAAGAATGTTCAGGGCTTCATTTTTATTCCATTTGAAAGTGTGGTTTGTTTTAGAGTCCAAAGTGTAGCAGTTTTTCTGAACAAAGAGTATTTTCTCTGGTTTACTATTGTAATTATTAAAATAAAACAACAAACAGAAACGTTTTAGAGGTTTGCACTAACAAATTCAGTGTTCAGTATATGTAGCCATTTTCAGTGGTTAAAAAGCACTCAAGGCATTTGGGTTAACTTAGATAAAATTTAAGATTCAAGTGAGTTCATTATGTAGAAGACCTCTAAGCTTCCAGGATACAGTTTGAAATTTTTACCTATGGGCCTAATTTGTAGACTTGTTATTGTTATTTTTAGTACTATCATCATTCAGTTATTATTATCATTAAGTAGAGATTGTTCAGTTAATAGTGCTGTATTGAAAGTGGACTAAAGTGGTGGTCTGTAATGAATAAAGATGGAATGCGAGTGAAATGCCTCGCCTGGTTTTTAATTTTCTAAATGGAGTATTTTATATTTCCATGATAAATAATGTCACATTTCAGCATTTAATCCCTTATTCACTGGCCAGCTCTTAAGGGGCTTAAATGTTATGTTACTGCTGTTTAGCCATTAAAATTGTGATTCTGTTGCTGCGTGCTTCTCTTACGCTTCACTTGTCATGGTAAGATCTCATCACTGTAATTCTTTCATTGTAATGAATAATGGGAGTCACCAAAGCCACGTGCCATTCTAAGTACTCACATCATTCTGTTTTCCTCCCCCAAGATGCAGAATCGGATGGCAGTGCTACTCTGTAACTTGAAGCCTGCAAAGATGAGAGGAGTAGTGTCTCAAGCAATGCTGATGTGTGCCAGCTCCCCAGAAAAAGTGGAAATTCTGGCTCCTCCAGCTGGAGCGTTACCAGGGGACAGAATCACTTTTGAAGGTTTTCCTGGTAAGTAGGTGTTTGGGAAAATGATAGAAACAGGTATGCCAAGGTAACCTCAGTGTTGAAGCACATAAATCAGCTTTTTTTTAAAGCTCATTGGATTTTTTGTTGAAATTTTCTGAATTAATTCTTGTTTTTAATTTTTTTTTACTACTATGCTAATATTATGTAAAGGATTGAAAATACTTTCTCATCTGTCAAAAACTTGTAACTTGATGAAGTTGTATAGAGCTTTTAGTCTCAGTAAGTATTTTAAGTTTTGATATCTATGGATAAACATATTTGTACTTGGCAAATTACAAAAAACGTAAAGTGTCTTTCACAGTGTCTCAGTATAAGTGATGAAGTGTTAAATCCCTAATTCCATCTCCTCCCTGTAATGAAAGTATCAGAACTTTGGGTAGAATTTTTTTTTTTTCTTTTTTGAGGAAGAAGGGATGGAGGGGATAGGAGGGGCTGGAAGTTTCCTATTCATGAGAGGGGCCCATAATATTCAAAACACTGGGGGTTTTTTGTTTGTTTGTCTGGGACAAAATGTCTTTTTAGATTTCCAAAGAAAGACTTTGGACTTTTCCCCACTTAATTAAATCAATAAATCCATATTTTTTTCGGAATATAAATGATCATTTCACCAAATTAAACTTTATCAAAAGATGATTTTTCATCAGTTTTTCCATTTCTTCCATCTCTATGAAGATTATTAATTTTTGACTGCATATTGGGAACTTAGATAAAGCATCATAGATTTATCATGTTGGTTTAAAATGCCGTTTATTAGAGCCTTGTCTGAAAAGAGAGACTAGTGTAAATAATCTTGCATGGCACAGATGATGTGAATGTACCTGCAGCATGCTGTGCACTCCTTATCCATAAGGAGAATTTCTTCCCTTTCCATTGTTTGAGTTATTGCTGTATTTTGTTACTCATTATGGCTGTCAGTCATAAAGGAAGTTTTTGTGAGAACTTGGTGCTGCCCATAAGGGTGAGGACACACAGGTGGCTCAGTTGCTGGTGCCACATGGGAGCTGCCTGTAGACTGCTCTCTTACAATCAGCTGCCTAGCTTTATCCTGCACCCTAGGAATTTAGGAATTTGTGCAGCACAGCCCAAGCCAGACCTACTCAGGTCAGCTGTTAAGTGGATCACAGAGGTCTTGGTGAGCAGTGCTCTTCTGGTCAGGATCACTCCATCCCTTAAACTTGAGAGAACATGGTCCAAATCCCCAGTATTTCCCATACTGGGTGAAAGTGTATGTGTGTGCATTTATCAATGAAGCATTCATCTTCAGGAGGAATTTATAGTTCAAAAGTTGGCTTTCACGTGTGAGAAAATGATGTGACTTTTATTTTCTGCATAGAGCCATATGAACCTTTATAAACTATTGCACTTCTGACAATTTCTAGCTGTACAGCAGAGTTTTGATTTATGGACCTCTTGGCAAGCTCTATGCTTAAACATATTTGCATGAAATACCTTTCAGAAATACATATGAATGTATATATGAATATATACATATATATTTATACTTCTCAAGAGTGAAATTGTGATGCTTACAAAAAAGATATATTTTGGTTAGAATATGATAAAGGAAGCAATGCTCTATCTGTGTGTTTTAAGAAATCGAAAAATAGCTCAGCTTGCTGTGATTTAATGTTCCAATTAAAAATACTTTAAAATAATACTGTTTCAAATGGAAATCCATCTGGCAGCATTTTTTTTTCAGTTTTAGTTTACTGTATTAAAAATATATCAAGCTTACTGGTTGAGATGCAGAATTTGTTAGCTATACTGAAATCTTAAATGATTCATCAATCAATTGCATTGACTAAATTGTAGGAATGCTAACTCATGGCTTCTAGTTATTGTCACATATAGTGAGTAAAGATGGATTAAATGTTGGACCTTTGTTACCTTCAAGAATCATAGGTACCAAATACACTCACACTGCTATCTGTTGCTGTGGAAATGGATGTGCAAGAGAGCATCAAGTTGCAGAATAAAGCATAAGCCCTGGAAAATAAATTAGAAGTTCAAGCCTCAAAAACACTCTTTGCCCAGGTTGAGGGTCTTTTTGTTTGCTTTTGTCTAAGATACAGCCTTCCTCCAAACTTACATCTCAAGTATCTTCATATACCTGGCATTTGAAAATGTGACAGCTGGTAGTAGTGCTATTTTCTGTTGACTAGCATATCTGTTCTTGCTCATGACCAATGAAGTGAATTCTATAAAAATAATTGAACTATTTGACTCCAGTTGTTTGGGTTTTTACAGTGGCAAAAAGCTTTTCCTAGAGCAATCAGTTATAGAAATATTTGTTCTAAAATTATTCCCAGGTGTTACAGTATGCAGACATCGTGTTGACATTTTGACCCTTAAAAGATACAGAATAAGCTAAAGATGGTGTGTAAGTTGTTCTAGTTCTGAAGTTATGACTTGCAGCCAGTAAGACAAGATTTTGTGTGAATTACATCAGTTTCCTTCTGGGGGAGAGCCAAAGACATGGGGCTCTGATAAGTGCCAAATGAAGGTTTTTGCAAGGTGTATATATCCAGGGCTATAGATTGTAGTCTGAAATGTGGCACTGTATTCTAATGTTTCATAAAGAGCTGCTTGGAAAATTTTGTAGGTATGAGATTTAAGCTAATCATTGACTTTGAAAACTTACCTAATGCTTAATAGTACAAATTAAAGTGATCTAGCTTCTTCTTACATAAAACTTACTTAAAAGAATTCTCAGACTTGTGATTTTACTATCTTGAGGAGGAAGATGCAAAAAAACTCATTGGTAGGTGGGGACCTACAAAATCATGATGACATCTACTTCTGTAAATTTATTTGTTGGGTGCTTGTCTTTTCAATGTTGCTGTTGTAAACTAAATTAAGGGGAAACTTATTGGGAGACAGGAAAACTGTTTCTCAGTTTTTAACGGGGTTGAACCATCTTCTACTCACCTTTTTTGTGTTAAAACCTTCTGCTTCTTGGCTGCTGCTCTCTCCTCAAAGACCATCTGGCACTTGCCTGATGCTGTTACCAGGAGGATAGACTCCGTGTTGTGTCAGATGTCATTTAATTTCACTGCCTAATTGTAACCATTTATATTCTGATCAGTTTGTTGTTTTAAAAAGTAATTGTAAAGCATAAAGATTCAGTTGGAGTCCTTGAAGTTAAAATAGAAAGGACAGCTGGGTCTTATTTAAGTTTGAAGTATGAAAGTCTGTGAAGCAACAGAAGCACCAACAGCAACAATAAAGCAATTCTAAAATGCACGCAGCTGTCTATCAAGCAGCTTGGAATTGAGCTATTTTTGAGTCTTCTCACTCCATTATACAAAATATTAATGAGATAGACTAATTTTCTTTGGCCATTTTAGTCAAAGTAAACAAATGGTATCTTGTCTCAAACCAATTAAATTTGTTTTCTGTAGCTAGTGGAGTGTTTACCTAGAACTATCTTGAGTGTTATAGAGGAGTGATTTGGTCAGGAATGTTGTTGCCTGGAGTACTGTTCTGTTTTGTTTATTTAATTCATGTCTTTGCCCTCAGTGGAATTTTTAGTATTGAAGTGTTTTATACTCCAGTGCATGAGTCTTCAAGGTCTCTTGAGCCTTTTTTTGCATTAAGAACTTTATCAGAATTTTATCCATCTTCACTAGAAAAGATCTGATTTTTTAAACTGTGTAAGAATCCTTCTATCATGTGTGTGTAAATTCTATAACATCCTACACAGTAATTGCCTTAAGAGAGCAATAATACTTGAAGATTTATAGCTAACTGTGAAATCTCTTTTCTGATAGCAGTATCAGATACTTTGATGCCACAAAAATCAGGAATCAAAAATCTGTTACTTAAATTATATAATTAAATTGTCATTCAGGTCTAAGAATCACTAGCAATTTAGTGAATTACTATCTCTTTAGAAGAATAAAAAGTGGTAAAGCTGGAGCGCAGTGGTTAGCCTGTAGTTAGCAGGTTTTTTTAATCAAAGCTGGAGTGTATGGATGCTTTCCTTTAGCTGCATGGTTACAAACCACTGTGGGGTAGGTGGCATTAAGTAAAGTCACAGATCACTCTGTCCTTTTGCCCCGTGCTGTGCTGAGATACATTCTTTCAGCAGTTTTTGAACTGTTGCAAAGTGGAGAGTTTTCCTGCTTATGATGAAAATTTTTTGTAGTAAAGCTGTGAGATGGAATGATATGTTTAACAAAATTTGGGACCTCTTATTTGGCCCATTTTTGGTAAAAAGAGTGGAAAGCTGATTAAACCATTAAAAGCTTCAATTTATTTTATTTATAGAAACTCTTCTAAAGAATATTTTCTGGGAAGAAGGAATGCAGTGAGGAGAAGGCATAGGAAAATGCACAGCCTAAAGCTCTGGTAGTATTTAAAATTGGTGCCTATGCTAATCTAATATGAGCTCGCCACAGATCCCAAGGGAGCTTGACGCAGGATTCCAGAGAAACTTATTAACATCCAAAGCGTGTTTTTTATAATAAAAGTCAGAAGGTTTTCTTACTGAAAAAAAGAAATCATGTGCTTTTTATATTTGAGGAGGGGAAGGAAAATCTACAATGGATCACTTAACATTCTGTTTAATGATTTTATTAGTTTGTATGCATTCACTGTGGTCTAAATCCAGGTTTGCCTTTGTTCATGAACCTGAGCATTAAGCTGATTTATTTTTGTGAAAATGCACAATTAGCTCTAAACATTTAATAATTTTTATTTAGTAGTGCAATTATTTAAGTAATCAGGGTATTTAAATTTCTTCCTCTGTTTAATATTATATAAGTATTATATAAAGAAAATTATTAATGTTGTGACTGATTTTTCTCTGAAATACTAAATGCACTATGGTTGTGAAATAACTTGAGTGCATTATTAAATACTGCTCTGGTAAGACTAGCTTACTTCACAGAGAAATCTGGTCTAGTCTGCTTCTCTTGCATATAGAAACTACAGAATACAGACACCTAGACACTACAGAATACCCATACAGACAGAAATAGCTCAGGTTTGCAGGCATTGAGAATGTGAGTAGACTGAACTATGGAAAACGTTTAAAGAAGAGCACCAATAAGGCATAAGGCAGGCTGGAATGAGAGTAGTGGATTTAACCACTGGTTGGTCAGTCAGTCAGGACTTACCAAGCAGTGATGAATTTCAACCAACTATTAGAAAAAGATATGTTAAAATTCCTGTGTTTAGTTTAGTTTGTGTCTGTACTTTGCATTTCATGCTTATTTAAAAATATGAAAAATATCCTTCACTATGCTATATAATTTGTTGACAATATTTCAAAACATTTATAGAAAAAAGCCTACATTTTGTGGTCATTAGAGATCCTTAAATAATCAGATTTGCTAATGTAGTTAGTTGCTGTCAATACCACTAGGGTGTAGGTATCTTATAATGATACATCCATGAGAAGAGGAGACTGAGGCTTATGAAGACTGAGGCCATAATTGCTGAAACTCTAGCTAATTTCTACTGCTTCTGTTGTTTTGGGTGCCAGAGCTTGTTATCAAACAATACAAAGCATAGCAGAGCAGTGTGTAACTCAGGGCTACAATTATATGTCAGTATTCTACCTCTGGACTATTCTTGTCTAAGTTCAGTATTCCACAATTGTAATAGCATCTGCTAAGTGCATTTAATTTCTTATAAAAACATCATTCATTTCTGAAGTTAAGATGCTGACAAACCTGTCTGGGTGAGCGAGCAGTGTACTTCTGTGGTCCACATGTATCTAATTCTTGGGAATTCTTTTGGTCTGCAGTATAAAATAACAGCAATGGTTTAATTTCTTCCTTTTGACAGTGCTTGTTGTCTGATACAACTTTTTTACCTTGAAAGATCCTCTTTTTCAGAGAGGTTTTGGAGACATTTCCTAGACAATTCCTAATTCCAACTAAAGTTTTCGTTTTGAGAATCAAAAGGAATGTTAGGGTTTTTATCCCTTAAAAGTGTGTGCAGTGATGCTATGTGGGTTGTCGTAGATGTGTAAGTACATAGAGCTCTTACTCTGAGTTGTGTGCTATGAGGTTATTCTTTGTTTTGAAACAGGAGATCCTGAGAAGGAACTTAATCCAAAGAAGAAGATTTGGGAGCAAATCCAACCTGATCTTCATACCAATGACCAGTGTATTGCTACATACAAAGGAGTTCCATTTGAAGTGAAAGGGAAAGGAGTGTGCAGGGCAGAGACCATGGCAAACAGCGGAATTAAATAAATAAATGGTTATTAGAAACTTTTACAGATGTTGAAATGGAAAGTGATGCAAGCACAATAAAGAACATGAAATGCATGGCTAAGACCTGTTTTGTTTGACTTCTTTTCCATAATACGTTACATCTCCAACATTTTGACAATTTGCTCATTCACTAGGCTTGTTGTCCTTGAGGTTGTGTGCTGTCAGCAGTTATTAACCACTCAGTGCTCATGACTTAATTGCCAAGGCTTGTTCGTGGTGGGACCACAGGCAGGCAAGTAAACTTTCTGGACAACTTGAAGGTGTAGAGCTTCTATTTACCAAAAACTTAAGGAAATAAGGAAAATATTCTGCTGTGTTCCTTGTGTCCTAATTGCAGAACTAGCAGCTGGTTAGTGAAGAGCACAGTTGTCTTTATTCTTCTAGTCACTTCGTAATAGTTTTTCTCCTCTTCTTCCAAGCAGTTTTCAGAAGTATTGTAAGCCTCTGCACCTTTGTTCTTGCCTGTGTTCTCTCTGTAGTCTGCAGTCAGTTGTAACTGGAAGATTAAACTGGTGGTTTATGCCCTAGGATGTACAAGTGGACACACTTTCGTGTCCCCAGAACTAAACTGTTATAATTTCATTAAGATCAAAGCTGCCACTTTGCTGGAATAGTCCTTTATCTAGTCCACCTAAGTATATCCTTCCAAACCGATAGGTAGGACTAAGAAATAATTAATAACAGATCCCTGGAACTAATAAAAAATGAAAAAAAGCCCTCAAACCCCAAAAACCAGCCTGCAAGAAAACCCAAGAAGGCAACCAAACCAAAAACATTCAGTTTCCAGTGCTCAAACAGGTATAAAATTAATTGATGTTTTGGTTTTGTTTTAATGTGCTTTTATGCAATGATGTTTTATACAAAGAAATGCTTTGGTTTTAACAGAAATAGCTTCTTCAATTTTTAGAGTTAGTATTCTTTCATAGTAATGTTGTACAAATAGTCATGTTGCTAGGCTGTTAGCCTCAAATTAATTCTTTTAATTCCTTACTTGCAGTAATATGAAAATAAATATTTTGGATCCATTCACAATAACTCTTTTGATTAGCTATATAGAGATACTTCAGATATTTTTGCATATAATATTAAATTAAACTCTTGCTGTATAACCCTTGAAACAGTAAATACTATTTTAAATACTGAAATTAAAAACAAACTTGAGCCTTTCTAAATTTTGCAGGCTTTGAACTTCATCCAAGAAGTGGAGAGAAAACAAAATGACAGTGATATAAAATTAAAAGGAACATGCATAAAGAGGAGATGAACAGATTTTCTTTTTGAATGAGTTTTGTTTGTGCCTGTAAACTGTTAGTTTTTCATGCATCTGGCAATAAGTAATAGTTATTAGTTCTTTTAAATGTGCTGAATAGCATTAAGCACATGGAAGCCATTTTATCTGCCTTGTAAACTGTATATCCTATAATGTCTTATTAAATAAAATCATTGTAGTTCAAGAACTCAGTTATAACTAATCTTGAATCATGGTAGGAATACTTTTACAACAGATAAATCTTAGTTTTTAGTACCAGAAATCTCTTTTTAGAAATGGAAATTCAGAGGAACTTCTGAAGGCTTGAAGAATTGAGCAAAGAGGCCCCCTGAGTCTGAACTCATGCATTTTTTACTTCCTTTTTTTATTTTTTTTTTCTTTTAAAATTTTATTTTATTCTTCCAGATCTGTGTGAGCTGGAATTTACAGTCTCATGTACTGCAAAATCCCATTTTTAACTACACACATATTAGCACAATTTTGGAGCACTAACTTGTTCAGATTTTGTGGTTGAACCTAGGATTCTGAATGCAGTGGTGTGAGGTACTGATAAGCTAAAGAGATATTTCTAATTGTGTGTTCAGAGGTGTTTGGTATGGATGTGGAGTTTTCCAGTTGATGGCTTTTACTCTTTTATTTCTATTAGATGTTACCTACTGTAGAAAATAGACAAGTGAGCACTTTAAAGCTAATTTTAGTCCTTGCTGTGTTTAAGTAGTACTTGATAATTATTTTTTTGTATAAAATTCAAGAGCTTTCTTAAGACCATATTTCTTTGCTCTTTAATTATGCTGTTGTGGTTGTCTAGGAAGATGTATTTATGCTGTACTGAGCTCAAAAGTGACAACAGGGTACTTGAGGCGCTGTGCAAATATGTTTCCTCACTGTATCCAGCCTCTTCTGCCTTGTCTGCATGAGTAAGTAGGACTGCAGTGAAATCCTTCCACGTGGGACCCAGAAGTTCCTGTAATGAAAAGCAAATTTTAACTAGTTATCTCTTATTTCTTTTCCCCACTCCCATTTCATATGCTTAGTACATTACCAGACCATTTACATGTATGGTTTTTTTTAATCCTGGCAGTAATCCAGTTCATGCTATCCAAGTTCTGAAATTTTTGGGGTTTCTTTCACCTTTCTGAGACATTGACATCCACTTTCTTTGGAAATATGTGGTCCTGCAGTACTAGCAGTTCTCTGTTCCCTGGCTACAGATGTTAACAGAATGTCTCCAGTTAAAAAATGTTCATGTAAATAAGGAAAACTAGTTTTTTAGCCATGTCACACATTAGTTTGAAATCAGTAGTTACCACATATCCATATTGCCACACTATTTAGATCTCTTAAATTTTTTTTTTGCAACACTGAAGCACCTTTTTTTGAAAAAATAAATGATGAATTTCTATGTAACATCAAGTTCAGTTCCAGCTGTGATCCATAAAACTGAACTATTCTCAACAATTCAGGAAAAACACGAATCAAATGCAACACCTTAAATAATGGGCCAAAGAGCTTTTCTTCAACTTCTGTGATTTATCTGATGGAGCGGAATGGAGAGAACAAGCTGCTTTTCTTTCAGGAAGTACAGAAAATTTTAATAGGAATAAGAGAGGTTGGGCTTTAAATTACAGGTGCTAACTCCTCTATATGACAAGAAGGCTACCTTGGTGATAAAGGACACTGCAGTGATCTCGACTCTAACCTAAATGCTAAAGTATACAGAACTACTTTAAAGATGTTTGTCTACTTCCAAGGTAAGTGGGTGTCGAAACCACCTGGTGTATTGATAGTGATTAATCTGTTTTAGACCCTAGGGATGAAAAATATCAAGCGCATACAGAATTTTTCTTTAAGCTGCCCAAGGAAGTCTTGAATTACCAGTTTCAGAAAGAGAGAAGAGAGCTTTGATTTGCTGAGGACTCAAAATCAGTTACAATCTTTGTTCTGAAATTAGTGTCTGCCACTCGCAGTTCATTAGGCTGTCGTTGGAAAAAAAAGATTCACTTTTGCAGTCAACTCTGCCATAGCTATTGTCACCTGAAGAAGAAAAAGTTGCCATTGGGGCAGAGACTTTATTTTGTTTTGGTTACCTGGATGAGCTGAACTGTGTCATCGCTTTCATCTGGGCGCAGAGGCAGGTCAGCCCTGAGGACCAAGAGGGCCAAGTGCAGGCCTTCCTCCCCGAAGTGCCGAGCCAGGGCTGCTCTCACCGTGTCTCTCACTTGCTCTTTGCTCAGAGCACTGTGAGGGTAGCTGGGGGTGTCCAGTACTCGAACACGGAGAGCTGACTCGCAGCCGTTTCTCCGGATGAGCCCCAAAATGCGGCCGCTGCGTCCCAGGCTGCAGCACGTAGTCACGGAGCTGGGGCAGAAACGGCTCTCAAAGTCTGTGCTGCCCAGCAGGCTGTTCCCAGCAGCACTTTTCCCAGTCTGAGCTTTTCCAAGCACAACGAGATTGATGATCATCTCATTGCTGTCTGCCATTGTTGGCGCTTTTATCCACAAACCTGTCACTAAGTACAAATAACATTAGGTGCTTCAGATAACTTTGGGGGTGGGGGGAAAGAAGAGGCAAGAATTTCCAATATTTGAGTGTTTTTCCCTGCCTGAAATATGAAAAGAGTTTTAGGAAGAAGCAATAATGTGGAGAGGCAACAGAGAGGGGAGGAGTTGGGGAACACCTGTGGAAAACACTTGCCATTCTGGGACTAGTAGTAGGTTAGGAGAAGGAGGCTGACTAGGGAAGGAAGAAAAGAATGGTGACAAATAGGTGCTGCTGTTATTAAGTGACAGTGTTTCAGGATGTAAATATTTACTTGTTTTATGAGAAAGAATAATCAAGGAGAAGTAGATTTTAATGGAGCACTTTTCCATAGCTTAAAATATGTTTTTCGTCAGCTGCCACTGACATTGAAATAGACATTAGTGTAAAAGGGCTTCTAATGCAGAAAAATGTCTCAATTTAAAAAAAAAAAAAAAAAAAGGAGGAGAGCTGAAATAACCAATCTCATGAAAATGAGATTTTGGAAGTGTATACTAAACCAACTTGTAGTGGAAAAGTGTAGTAAGTGTAGTGAAGTAAGTGGAAAAGAAAGTGTAGCGTAGTAAGTGGAGAAGAAAAACATAGACTGGTGGATAGAGAGAGTGAGTTGGCTTGGGATCATTTCCAGTTACTCCATTTGTTCATAAACAGGACCTCTCATTCTCTTTGTACTTTTCTGTAACCCAGTTTCTGAAGGGGTTTTAGTGTGTGCTGATCATCTAACTGGAAAACTTGTTATTTAAATAAATTGAGACGTGTTTGAGAAGGTAAAACCGTAGTGGCAAATAGTGGATTTTAAGTTTCTGTGGCATGTGAACTTCAGAAAGAATTTTTTTTTTTAGATACTATTTTTAGGTACTCATAGAGAGATCATGGGTAATTTCAGACTGGCTTTTCCTGTGATTAATTTATTTAGATTCTTGCTGTGCAGTTTAAGCTTTCTCTCTCATATTAATTCCATGGCCTAAATCAATATTTTGAAATAACTTCAGTACAGCACCAAAGACACAAGAGCTAATAGCATACTAATTTTGTTATAGTCAGCATCGAATATGTGTATGATAATCTTCCTTACTGGATTCACAGTGAGGTTTTTGTGGATTTTTCAAAGATCAATTTCCTTTTAAGAAAGACATCTTATGAAATGGTTGTCTTCAGTTATTCATCAGTCTAGATATGCATTGTACACTCTGTAGCATAATAATAGGAAGTAGTGGACGTGGATTAGTCCATTCCTTATTTAAAT